ATCGTTGCAGATGGCAAGATTTCATTCTTTTTTATGGCTGACTAATATTCCATTATACCACCTCTTTATCCATTCCTTCACTGATGGACACCTAAGTTGCCTCCATATCTTGGCTATTGTAAATAATGCTGCAATGAACATATAGATGCACATTGTCTTTTTGAATTAGTGTTTCAGATTTCTTCAGATAAATACCCAGAAGTGAGATTACTGGGTACTTCTTTGTCTCTTGTTATATTTTTGTTTTAAAGTCTATTTTGTCTGGCATTCATATTGTTACCCCAGCTTTTGTTTGTTTGTTTGTTTGTTTGTTACCATTTTCATGAAATATATTTTTCCATCCCTTTACTTTCAGTCTGTGTGGGTCTTTCGATCTGAAGTGAATCTCTTATAGCCAGCTTATGTAATGGTCTTGCTTTCTTATCCATTCAGCTACCCTATGTCTTTTGATTAGAGCATTTAATCCATTTACATTAAAAGTAATTGTTGATACATATGTAGTTATTGCTATTTTATTGTTTATATTTTTGATCTTCTTCTTAAACAAGTCCCTCTAACATTTTTTTGTAATACTTGTTTGGTGGTCATAAACTCCTTTAGCTTTTTCTTATCTCAGAAGCTCTTTATCTGTCCTTCGATTTTAAATGATAACTTTGCTTGGGTAGAGTAACCTTGGCTATAGGTCCTTACTTTATATCACTTTGAATATTTCCTGCCAGTCCCTTCTGGTCTGTAAAGTTTCTGTTGAGAAATCAGCTGACAGACTTATAGAAGCTCCCTTGTAGGTAACTAACTGCCTTCCTCTTACTGCTTTTAAGATTCTGTCTTTGTCTTAGGTATTTTAATGATGATGTGTCTTGGTGTGGGCTTCATCTCGTTTGTGATTCTCTGGGCTTCCTGGGCTTGTATGCCTATTTCTTTCATGAGGTTAGGGAAGTTTTCCATTATTATTTCTTGAAATAGGTTTTCAATTCTTGCTCTCTCTCTTCTTCTTTTGGTACCCCTACAATGTGAATGTTGGTATGCTTGACATTGTTTCAGAGGCCCCTTAAATTATCCTCATTTTTTGGATTCTTTTTTCTTGTTGCTGTTCTGATTGGGTGTTTTCTGCTACCTTATGTTCTAAATCACTAATTCAGTCCTCTGTTTCATCTAATCTGTTGATTCCCTCTAATGTATTTTTCATTTCTTTCAGTTACCGTATTCTTTATTTCTGACTGGTTCCCTTTTATGTTTTCTATCTCTATTTTTATGTTTTCCATCTCTTTGCTAAAGCTCTTATTGAGTTCATCTACTCTTCTCCTAAATTCATTAAGCATCCTTATTGGCATTGTTTTGAAATCTGCATCTGGTAGATCACTTTGCTCCATTTTGTTTAGTTCTTTCTCTGGAGCTTTGTTCTGTTCTTTCAATTGGGACTTGTTTCTTTGTCTCCACATTTTGACTGCCTCCCTGTTTTTATTTCTATGTATTAGGTAGGGCTGCTATGTCTCACAGTCTCAGTAGAGTGGCCTTATGTAGTAGATGTCCTGTGGGTCCCAGTGGCATAGTCTCCCTGGTCACCTGAGTCAGGGGCTCCATGTGTGTCCAGTATGCATTGAATATGACCTCCTGTTATATTTGAGGCTTGATTACTGTTTGCACGTCAATGGGAAGTATTGACCCTTGGACTGATTGGTTGTGAGGACTGGCCATGACCAGTGGAGGAGCTGTTGTGCAGGTGCTGAGCCTATGGAGCAAGATTCGCTTTAGCAGGGCCCTGGTGCCTGACCATGGTGCCTTTTTGGTGTGTTGTTCCCAGATGCGGCCCTTGGTGGCGCTTGGGCTCAGTCTAAAGCCAGCCACTGGGCATGTCACTCTGAGGACTCCTGGGAGGGGACCTTGCACAGGCCAAGTTCAGCCACAGCCTGTGCTTTGCTCGGGGCCACCTGACATGAGCCACCAAGCAATCCGAAGATGGTGGCCACCCATGCTGGGCTTGGAGGTGCCTTGAGAGGCCAAGCCACAAACTGAGGCTGATGTCTGCTATTGCTAGGCTTGGGATGTTCAGCAAGAGGTACAAGGTACGCCAAGGCCAGACACTGCTTGTTTTGAGTTTGTGAACCTTTGAGAGATTTTAGGAAATTCCGCAGCATGAGCCAAGACAGGCCATTTGTATGGAGAAGGCACTGGAAGTGGCTTGGGTGGGCCCACAAGTGGGTGAGGTGGGGTCTCAGGGCAGGGCCACACATGTTAGCCAGGTTGACAGAAACTCAGATATGGCCACCTACATCTGCACACTAGGAGCGGGGAGGGCCCAACAAAGAAACAGTAGCTTCTGCGAGCACTTCTGTCTGGGAAAAAGCTGCTCCTCCAGTCTTTGCCCTGAAGTCAGACAAATCAGTTCTTCCCTGTGTGTTCCTGGTGCCTTTCAAGCTGCTGCCACAGTGCTAGAACTCAGAGGAATGAGTCCGTCCATGTGTGCAGGCTCTTTAAGAGGAATGTCTAGGACTCTAGCAGCCCTCCGTCTCACTCAGCCACAATCTTGTCTGGTTTTCACAGCTAGAAGTTGACAGGACTTCTCTTCCTGGCATTAGAACCCTGGACTGGGGAGCCCGCTGTGAGACCAAGACTTCTCTCCTCCAGGGGGACCTCCACAGTTGAGATATCTCTCTTAATTTTTAAATGCCACATGTAGGTGTGGGACCAGTTTGTTTAGCATCTCCGTGCCTTCTATTAGTCTTGATGTGGTTTTTTCTGTATGTCCTTAGTTGTAGGACTTCTTTTCAGATAGACTTCAGGCAATTTTCAATGATGGTTATTCTGTAGTTTATTTGTAATTTTGATGTGATTGTGAGAGGAGGCAAGCTCAGCGTTTACCTACTCTGCCATCTTAACCGGAAACTTCTTGGCTCTCTTTCTGTGACATTTTGCATGAGCACCCAACAGTGGGAGTGATGATTGAGGTCAGTGATTTCAGGACAATTTCTTTGCATTCTCAGAAGGCTTCGGTGGTAGAATGCTACTAAAGGATTGGATAATAATTGGCTGTCTTGATAGAGAAAAAGATGTAATTTGGATATAATTGGCCTAACATGGGAAAAATGAATAAATGCTTTAAAATTGGGTCATTACATTGTTAAAAGTAATAAATAATTTGGCATTAAAGTATCATAAATATAACAGTATAAATACTGTATGTGTATGAATACATAATTTACATTTTAATTATTTATGCTTAGTTCATCTGCATTTCAAGTATTTTTCTTATAGTGGGAAAAACATAAGGACTAAGAGAAAATTATTCAATACTAGGTTCTTAAGGTATAGAAATTTGTAAACACACATATAAAAATATGTCACCAATATGTACTGATTTAAAATGTTTCATCGAAATAGCCTCTCCGGAAAAATAACTCAGTCCAATTACCTCCCAGCCTACTCCCGTGATAGTACTTCTTTATTTTAAATTTGATTAGTAGACAACAATCTATACAGTGAGTGATATTGGTGATTTAAATCAATGTCAAAGACTATGAGAAAAGTTGATGCTTTGAGTAAAATTGAGTTTCTCCCAGGCAAATAAGTACCAAGGCTTCAGAGTTTTTATGCCAACCAAATATAGACATTTTCTCGTTGACTCAGAACTTAAGAAAAAATCCTTTATTTCATGCATTTAAAATTATACATTTAGACAGAGACAGTTATGTTACATGGACATTGCATTTTAAGAATCAGGCACAGAAGGTATTACCACCTCAATTTTATGGGTGATAAAAAGAACCCAAAGAGATGTCCATTTCCCCAGTGTAGCCTGGCAAGACAAGACTAAAACCAGAGCCAGACTCTTGTTTTCTGACTCCAAGCCCTGCCTCACCTCCCTCTTTGCTCCAGTGTTTGGAGGTAGTGGTAGCCTGTAATAAGTAATTATATTTCCATTTTGACCATACAGTCTGTGCTTATGAATTGGCGGCACATTTCTTAGATAACAGAACTCACAGCCAACAGTGTCATGCTCTCAAACACAGTACCATGCTCCATTTAAATGAGCCACATCTTGTCCTGCTGTTTTATATAAACTGGATAAACCCATTAGCCATAAGTTATTTTAAGAAATAAACAGCTAGAGTTAAGACTTCTTAAAACACTAAGGCCCTTCAGCCTAAGACAGATGGACTCTCAGTAACAGATTTTCATTTCTTCAGCAATCTGCAGAATTCGAGACTGTAACTACTAAAGAGTAAAGAAAAGTGAGCATTCTCTAATCAGAATATCAATATTAAAAGTCCTGCAGAAAGAGAGGAACTTGGCGAGCAATTTATTGTTGAGGGCCTTCTGTTTGTGTACCTACTCCTGGTATATGTTGAAGGATATCAAGAAGAAATATCAGACGTGGTCACTCTTGACTCTTCAGGAGCATGTAAGCTAATTGAGGAAATAAAATGTACCGTTTAAGGGAGACTACATATTCAGACAGAGCAAGATGAGGTTAGGAGGGTGTTTTAGTTTGAGCTGACCCTGAAGCAGACCCTGAGACAAGTATTTGAGTGCTGCAGGTATTTTTGAAGGACAGTGTAAGGAACATGGGAGAAGGGAAATGAGATGCGGAAGGGAAGGCAGCCAATAAAGTGAACGTTATTGGACAACTGTCAACGTGGGTGACTTTAAAGTAATCCTATGAGAAAATACTGGTAAACAGTATAGAATACCTGACTCAGAATTATTCTACTCAAGGGGTGGGGGAGCTAGAGTAATTACATTCCAGATATTATCAGGCCTGTAATTGGGGTATTGAGGGCTCTCCCAGGGGTACTAATTCCCCAGAACTGTCCAGCACCTGGGCAAAGCATCCTTCTACAGCCCGAGAAAAAGCCCTACTGTACAGTGAGTAGATACTGACCGGTGGAAGTCAGTCTGGGCACGGAAGGTTCCAAGGAATATGGGTAGAGGACTGACAGTGTCTGCCACAGTAGCATTCTTGGTGGAGGTGAGACTTGACAGTGCTTCTCTTCTCTCCCCAGGTCTTTGCATGTTCCTATCCCTGTTGTCCATTGTGTATGGAGCCTTACGCTGCAACATCCTAGCCATCAAGATCAAGTATGATGAATATGATGTCAAGGTGAAACCTCTGGCCTATGTCTGTATCTTCCTCTGGAGGAGCTTTGAGATTGCCACCCGTGTCATTGTCTTGGTGCTCTTTACCTCCGTCCTGAAGGCCTGGGTGGTGCTGGTCATACTCATCAACTTCTTCAGTTTCTTCATATACCCCTGGATCCTTTTCTGGTGCAGCGGCTCCCCATTCCCTGAGAACATCGAGAAGGCCCTCAGTCGAGTGGGCACCACCATCGTACTATGCTTTCTCACCTTACTCTATGCCGGTATCAACATGTTCTGCTGGTCAGCAGTGCAGCTGAAAATCAATAACCCTGACCTCATCAGCAAGTCCCAAAACTGGTACTGGCTACTGGTATACTACATGCTAAGATTCATTGAGAATGCCTTCCTCCTCCTCATGTGGTATCTTTACAAGACCGATATCTATATGTATGTGTGTGCACCTCTGTTGATTCTGAAGTTGCTCATTGGGTATTGCACAGCCGTTCTGTTTATGCTGGTGTTCTATCAGTTCTTCCACCCTTGCAAAAAGCTCTTTTCCTCCAGTGTTTCTGACAGCTTTCAGCAGTGGCTAAAGTGTGTTTGCTGTCCCTGCAGGCGACAGAAATCCTCCGAGTCTATAGGAAAGACAGATCTAAGGTCACCCGAAGACAGAGATGAGACACCTTCTAGCAGTAAAATAAGTTCTATGCCGAGCCAGATCTTGACGGCCGATGAGTCATGCTCTGCTTAATGAGACTTGAGTCTCTTGTTTTCTGGGGTAATCCCTGTTCTTCATATAAGTGATGATCCCTGCACAGTTAATAAAGCAGGAATTTAGCTCTCAACTTCTTGTGAGTTGCTCCCCTTTAGAGAGCTCTTGGGTATGTGGGAACTATTGAGAGAAGCCAGGGAAACCCCTGAGTGTTGGAGGGGTAGCCTAAGGCACCACCATTTATAGTTGACCGTGTTCTCCCAGGTGTTACTGGTCTTTTCACTGACAAAGTACCCATAATATCTGTTGAGCTGGTTAGATCCATCAGGTAGAATGAGGACAGGGGCTTTCTTGTTTTCTAGTTTTATGGACTGCTGGTCTAGGTAGCCAAATGTTTTATTATCCCTGAACATACTTTTCATCCAAGAGCTATCCTAATGACCAGAGAAGGTTACTGGGGTTTTGCAATCAGCAACATAATTTCCGTCAGAGTTTTCATAGAGGGCTGTTCAAGGTTGGTTTTTGAGTAGACAGATGTTCCATTTGTATCTCATTAAGGCTCTTTGTATATAACCAACTGTAGCCACCTTGATCTGCTATCTCTAATTGATTCAAAAGTCTAGATTTGGAGACTTTATTCCCAAAGATCCATGGATGCAAAATTGAATTCTAAATTTCGTTATGGCAGCCCTAGAATTTTAGGAAAGTGGTGTGTTCCTTCAATATATTGAATAAATTCTCGATCAAGAGAGTTGTTAAAACACCAAAATGATGGTGGCTTTTGTAAGCAGAATTCCTACCTTCTCGGAAGGGTTGAAGATATGAATTTGTTAGAAGGTAGGCTTAAACCTCTTCAAGGTTCAGTCCTGTCCTACAATTTTGGAAAATTTCTAACAGAACTTACTATGATTTACCTTCTTAATAAAGAAGAAAATAAAACTTACAGTCTTTACTTCCCCTCTTCCTTACCTGTCAGGAAAGTTTCAGACAAAAGTTACCTTGGTTAACTTAAGTTTTCTAGAAAACTCCACAGAAATCTTTCACCTAACACAGGTATATAGGACATTTTACTTTTTATTATTTGAAGGAAAAGGTTTTTCTTCTCCCTCCAAATTAGATACGACTTCAGAAACCTTAAAATTATAAAGTGATAAAATGACCAGAAGATTTTTGTTTTTAACTGAATGCATTTTGATTTGGCATGATTATGAGTTAATGTAAACAAGATTCCCAATTTTATCCTTCTACATTCTCCTATCTTCGGTATAATTTCTGAACCCTATTCATTTCATAAAAGGATTGCTTAGCATATCCTCAGTCTCCCTGGAAAAATTCCTGGATTTAGTGCCATTATTTCTACTATAAGAACCTTGATGATGAAATATCTAGAAGCAGGTAACCTGTCACTGACTAAGCTGGACATTACAGGTCAATCAGGGTTGACAGTCTAAGGACTTGGCTGAACTTTCTGACCCATCTAGTTTCAGCCAGTCTATGAAGGGACAGGTTAAATATGGTGAGCTTGAGCAGGAGTTGTGGTCATAATTAGACAGGGATGAAGAGACTGGTACTTCCCAGTCTTGGTTTGGAAGCCTGTTTCAAGAACCATTATAAAATCTGAGCCTTTAAATACATTTTAAGTCATTTTGATGTAGAAGATAGGTAAGCATTTTGAGTGACCTCAAACCACACTAACAGTGATGGTCCATCAGACTCCTAAAGCCCAATTATGAGCCACTTATATAAGGACAAAGAGGTTTGGTAACTAAATTTTGTCATTTTGTCATTTTTAACCCTAGATATACAGATACCCCTGCTTTTGGGCCATGTATGTTCATTTACTTGTGGGGAAAGAAACCACCCCTTTCATTTGTACATGACGAAAATTTAAGTCATGGAGAACTGAGAATTTTTGTTTTAAAATTATTTATATTATACCTCTGAGATGGTAAAATTATAGGTCAGACTGCAGAGCTAGGCTGCCCTAAAGACAAACCAGCAAATTCTCTCAAGTGTTGAGATTTAAAATGTGGTTTTCAGTTATAATTCCAATTTCCAAAATTCTCAGTGCTTTGTCTAATTAATTATATACCATAACTTGTCATGACAGCTGCTCCAACTGAATTACTATCATTTCGCTGGATGGAAGTAAAGTATTTCTTCAAAATATATTGAAATAAGATCATCAAACATGTTTAGACTTTCTCTCTTCATTAGTGGAGACAGCATAGTGTAGAGATTGGCATCTCCCTGTCAAGCCCAAGTTACCTAACTGCTCTTTGCCTCAGTTTCCTCGCCCACCAAATTTGGATGATATACTTGCCTAGCCTACCTCACAAGGTTGTTGGAAAGATCAAATTAAATTATAGGTGTGAAAATGCTTTGAAAATATTTTTAAAGTGCCATAAATATTGAAGGAGTTGTTATTATAGTTATTCAAATCTATAAACAGGTTATTATTATTTTTTTTTACTGTTAGAAAAGTAACAGCAGCATCATCCACATGAGTGTCTTGAGTGAATATGCTGGCCTTTGGCCTTAAAGAAGGGCAAGTGTAAGTGGTCTTTACTCTTAGAGAAAATTCAGCCCTTGCCCTTCCTCTTACCATTAGTTACTTACAAAAATTAGTACCCAAACACTTGATACTTGAAGAAAAAACACCCACTGCAATCTGAGAAATTGCTTTTGATGGCAGATGAGTTTATCATTTTTGTATCTATCATCTTTCATAAAGAACATAGCAGCATCTTTTGATAATTTACAACTTGAATGCCTGATCTTGCTAGACTTTAATCGAATGTGGGTTTAATCTTTTCAGCCTTGTAGATGGGAAAATAAACATTAAAATTGATTGTCAAATACAGCATTTCCTTGGAACCACCTTAGAATATTAGTGCTATGGTTATGAGTGTATGTGTCAGTATTTCTCAGCCAGTAAATTGTGGATGTGAGCTTTTGCAGGCTGCTTCTGTGCAGCCATTGACTCTAATATTGTTTATGTTTCTTCATATAATAAATTAATTTTTCAATTTCTCCTTGCGTTTCATTCCTAATACAGTCTTTTTATGGCTTTTTGACTTCAGAAACTATTTTTAAAACAGTAATTTGAAAATGGTTGTGTTGTGATTAATTATGGTTTTGTAACCTCACCTGGAAATTCCTTCTGTAGCGTGAGAAATCTGAGAGTGCTAGGATTCTGCCTTGTAAGACTAACAGTCCATGGAATCACCTCTGATTGTTTTATAAACATTTATTCCATTTGTTAAAATTATACTGCTAGATACTAAGATTCTGCTCAGCTAGCTGTCTGTGATTGCTATATGAGATACAAAAAAAGAGAGACAATATAAATCTCTTCTAGACAAATTGTATACTGATTCAGAAATATATACCAAAGGGGTGACTTGATATTAACATGAACAAATAATCTAATTTAAATGATGATCCATGGTTGGAAAAATACCAGTTATTTATTAACGGGGTCATTTCAGATCATTAGATAGACATTCATTGTTTCAGTAATTCCTTTTCTTCTGAAGGTGGCCTTGGAATTTGGAAGGATATAGCTATAAGATAAGTCTTTTAAAAGAGATCTCTTGGTGTTAAATAAATCCCTTAAGAAAACAATTTATGCAAGTACAGAGTTTAAGTAGATCAATCTAAAATTACTTCATTTGGTATGTAAATGTTTTATTTTAAATTATTTCAAGCTAATAGTAGAGCCTGAAGAATAGTGCAAGGAATTCCTTTATATCCTTCACCTAGATTCACCTATTAACATTTTGCCATGTTTGCTTAATCATTCTCACTTTTTCTTACCCCTCTTTTCCTAAGTACTTCAGTGTGTATTTCCTAAGAACAAAGGCATTCTCTTACTTAGTCATAGTACAATGATCAAATTTGGGAAACATTGGATATAATACTAGTATCTAATCTAGAGTCCATATTCCATTTAATAATTGTACCAGTCACTTCATTTGCTCTCACAAAGCTTCCTCAATGTAAATCTACTCAATTCTCTTCTATGGAGTTCTCTTTAAAGTTATGAGTAAGTTTTAACTTGCCTATGAATGCTAGGAAAACTACGGCATACTTTGAAAAGCTATTTGAAGAAAACATATGCATGTTGTCAGTACTAATTAATACCTTAAAACCGTAAGTTTGGAATGTTTACTGGTGAACTGTGGGTCATTCTTTTCCATGGATATCCATTTTAGCCATAAAGTGTTTACTACTTAATGTGTGAGCCTGTGGTTCTCTTCCCATCCCTGCCCCACTGTGATAATTATTTTACAGTGTTTAGGCCCAAGTATGTAAAATTAGGAAGACTGTGAGGGAAGTATATATTATTTCTCTATGGCTATATTTCTCCGGGCCCCTCCTTCCGGGAGACTATATTCTCTACAAACATCTTTCCAAAAGGGAAAGAACTCAGAAATGTCAATCATATACTATAAAGGAGTAACGTTTTGAGCCTTTTCTCTTTTTCAGAAAAATGCACTTCATAGAAGCAGAGATTTGTACAGAGCTGGGAATTCAGATACAACCCCAAGCCCTCCTTTCCCAGGACATAACACAGCCTATCAGACTAGGCTCCTCACCTGCTAAGGAGGTGTGTCTGCCATAGAAGCCTGCTCGAGGGAATGTGTCACTCCTTGTCACCCTCTCTGCATGGTTGTGTCTCTGGAAATTATTAGGCCAAGAAGGTCTGAAACAGCATTGCTTTAAGCAGCTTTTGGAACCCAGAACATCTTTGGAGTATGTAGCAGTATGCAGCTGCATCTCTTTGCAGCAGGTGATGAGGAAACTTCCCACCCAGAGTCCACTGTGGCATACACCTTCCTGTGAGGGGTTTCAGGCTTTGCCTCTTCCCAAGGAGAGATTCATCCAGATAGATTTTTGAGATTCTGCATGTGTTTCTGCTCTCTCCCTGCCTTCCATCCTCAATTAATTCTGCCTTTGAATGATGAGTTCCTGATTGAAGCCTGATTAGCCTGCTTCCTAGAGTCCTGGGGAAATCATCCCCTCTAGGCATCTGCATTATACATACTGGTTTAATTTCTTATCAGTTGGCTTCCCGTTTTAATTACCTAAACTACAGTTAATGAATCTTGTTTTTAGGAGCGATAGCACTCAAGAAACAAAACAGTATTTGTAAATTCTATTTTGGAGTGGTACTGCAGGACCATCCCACCACCACACCAGTGGAGAAGAGAATGCTTCCCTGGTGTCACCTTCTTTTAATAAGATGACCTTCTTAAGTGGAGTGGCAATTTTTTTTAGAACAATGTTGTCCCCCGGGATTTAGAACCATTTCCCTATGCTGGGGGTAGTAGCATGTTCTAGGTGGGAAATAAAAGTCAGGCTTCAATATGGAAGTACATTTACTAAGCATTTCTGCCACATTTTCCAAAGAGATCACAGAAGGAAGAAACCTGAATCTCTAAGGCACCAGTAATTTGCTGTGATTTCATTCTGAATATTTTTTCATTTATATCTTATGTTGAATTCATTTTTTAAATATTTTTAAAGCCTCTTCCCAGACCAAAGTATCTATGCTTCTGGCCCCATAAAACTTAGGTCTGCCCCTGCTTGAGATCTGAAGCATGAGTAGGCATTTGCCTGGTGAAGGCACTAGAAAGAATGTTTCTGGTAAAGGGACATGTGCAGAAGCCTGGAATTAGTAAGAAGGACATTTGTCATCAGGTAACAGCCCGTAGGCCAGTGTTCCTGGACAATAGGAGATAGGTGAGATTGGAGAGGTGAGCTACATTGTGAGATAGAGAAGAAAATAATAGTGTTGACATGAGCCGGGCAATATGCTAAGTGCTTTACACATATGATCACTTTTATTCATCACATCAATCTTATGTAGCAGTTACTGCAATTATTTCCATTTTACAGAAAAGAAAGCTCATACTAATGAGATAAACTTTCCTGTGGTTGTACAGCAAATACTAGAACCATGCTCCGAAAAGCCATGAGGAGGCCATTGGTCTGAAATCATGACAGTCCCAGAGGAAAGAACTCTGGAATAGAAATCCTATTCTACCATAATACTTGTGGTCAGGAAGACGCTCCCCTTTTCCAGGAAAAACTGATAGGACTCACCCAAGGCCAACCAGTGAGTTAGAGCACATCTGAGCCTAGAACCTGGTTTATGAAGTCTTATTTTTTGTTTGTTTGTTTTTTGGAAACAAAGTTAACACTGCTTAAGTAAATAAATTAGAAAAAAAATACTTTCTTCAAACCTATATTTTAGGAGGGAGACTATCAAGTGCTTGCATTGTAGAGGACAGTTTGGTTCAGGGGTCAGAGTTACGTGACATTTAATGGTGTCAGGCCAGGGGCCAAGAATGACTTCAGTCGCTACACAGACGATCCACCTCATTCTTCAAAGTCCGCAAGGACAGTGTTTTCTGAAATAAAGAAGCAAGACATTTTATTTCCTTCAACCCTGATGCAGAACTCTAGTTAGCTGGTCTGACACATCTAGAAGGAACCATTTCCCCACGTTAGAAAAGTTTAAGTAGCTTAAATGTATAACGACAGGCTATAAGACCTACCCTACATATTTCATCTCAATGCCAATACTCATCTCTTGAAATTATAAGACCAATGGGCTTACTGTGGACAAATTAGCCCTGAAATCTGATCAATTGGCTCTGGACATCTTGAAGTATAGAGAGGGTCCCAGGAGTTGGAAAAGGAAGCAGAGTGGTCTTTTTTAGCCACCAAGGTCATACAACTCTCCTAGTACATGGGTTATAGGGAAAAAAAGATCCTAATTTCTCTGCCTAAATGTTGACCTCACTTTTTAGGTCTTAGAACTCCTTAGGATTGCTTTACATTCACCTCCCAGATTGAATTCAATCTCTACTTTCTCTGGAGAACTTATTCTGAAGGAAAGAGATAAGCAAGGGTTCTAACAGGTCCTAAAGAAATTCAGGTAGGACAGGACTCTGTAACCTGACAGACTAACCGGGATTATAGGAGGAAATAAATATTACATTCTCAGCACCCTGATCTCATCGACATGTTTTCAAAGGGAAAGAAATTTTATGCTATAATGTCATTTCCTTAGAGAGCATTCTAATACTGATGAACTCCGTCATGTCTAAACTAGCACTGTACAGTATGCCAGCCGCTAGCCACGTGTGACTACTGAGCCTTTGAAATGTTCCTAGTCTGAATTGAGATGTGTTATAAATGTAAAATTCTAAGACTTAGTACAAAAAAAGAATGAAAAGTATCTTAATATTTTTTTTTATTGATGACATGTTAAAATGATAATATTTTGGATATATCAGGCTAAATAAAATGTATTAGTAAAATTAGTTTCACCTCTTTCTGGTTACTTTTTAAATGTGGCCATTAGAAAATTTAATGTGGCTAGTTGTATGTGGTTGGCATTTGTGATTTGCGTTTTACGGGACAGTGCTGCTCTAGACACTTGGAGGGACAGATACCCTGAAGACCTACTTTTCTATGGAGAATGCTAAATGCACCAGAAAAATGCCAGATCAGCCAGGTCTGCTCCTCGGGTGGCATTTTCTTCCATTCATGTCAGGAAAATTGTATTTACAGTAAGAACAGATATTCCTCACTCTATTATTTCTGTATTAGGTGAAAATATCCTGAGCAATAGGGAAAATATTTTTTTTTTCTATTTAGTAGTTTTCAAACTTGGCTTCTCATTAGAATCACCTGGGGGGCTTTAAAAATTCCAAAGTTAGGCTACACCACAGACTAATTAAATGGTAATGTCTTGGGGTTGGACCCACATCAGGTTTTTTGTTTAAGTTCCTCAGGTGATTACAAACACCTGGGCTCTCCAGCATTCCAGAAAGCTTGCTTTACAAGCAAAGGCAGCTGTCTGAGGATTAAGAACACCTGACTCTTCCATCACATGTAGCAGGTCCTTGAATAAAGTTTTGTTCAATGTT